GAATATACACAGTATCAGGTCCAATTTGACATGCTATAAGATTATTTAAAATGTATATTGCAACGCCCCAATAACCATCAGCTCGGTCTTTACGGATGAGGTTGTATCCTATTAAAAGTGGTGCTGATGTTTCTGAGAACCAAGTTTCAGTTACAAATATTACATGAATGATGTTGAAAGAAGCTATTGTAGATAGCTCTGCTAATTTATCGAAATTTAGGGACGTGGCATTTGTATAGTAACAGCTAAATATAGAAAGGGGCATCCCTTTGTTTGTTCATCCATAATTAGTGTCTTGAGTTGTAAGAGGGGTTATTGTCGATAGTGCTGCTAAAGCAGCAACGATGTCGGATCTAATCGGTACACTATTTTTGGTGATTGTGATTGTCTGAGGGGTCATTCATGGTGCTGCCGCAATAAATACTGTAGACAAAATTCATTGGTGCACTATTGGTGTTTATATTTATCGGAGAGGTTACTGTTAATAATGATGCTGTAGTAGTACCATTGGCAGAACTGATAGGTTTAGTTGTTGGTGAAGATATTGTCGATTTGTGGTTGTTTGACTGGAGTTCATTACATTTGATCACATTGTATATGAATTGCTATAGTCTGATTGATCTAATTTTGTCTTGATTACGGTCATCCTTATGTAGCATCATCTTTATTTCACTATCTCTGACGGCATAGTATTTACGTTTGTCATTTTAGAGCTTGTAACGTGCTAACAATCATCAAAAGATTCAGAGAGACGAAATCTTACGTTGATTGCCATCGTTCTGGAAGACCGCGTTTGATGTCACCCAATGATGATCGACTTTTAATCAGGTTGACAAGAAAAAATTGAATCATGCCGTTGTATGAATTGAGAAGGGAATGGAAGCTTTCAAATAGACATCAAGCATCAGCATCACTTGTGCGTAGGAAACTAATAGCTTACAATATGCTCTGGAAAAAAGCTGTTCTAAAACCGCGACTTATCAAACAACATATAAAAAAGCAAAAATAATTTTGCCAAAGTGTCAAAGAATGGTCTAAAGAAAAATGGAGGACAGTAATATTCAGTGATGAGATGAATATCGAGGTTGATAACCGAAAAAACCAAATTATGATTCGCAGGCAGCAAAGAACAAAGCAACGTGGCGGGTCGGTTGGAATATGGTGCGGCATGACATATTATGGTCTCGTTATGTTTAAATTACTTGATGATCGACTCAACTCTATTTATTACATCGATATTTTAAATAACAACTTATTACCATCAATTGATGCACTTGAGCAAAGCGTTCTGTTCATTTTTCAGCAATGGTCTCTGAATGGTTCGAAAGCAAAAATATTGAGCGTCTAACTTGGCTACCAAATAGCCCAGATCTGAATTGCATTGAAAATATTTAGAGTTGGCTTGATAAAGAGATTGTTAAGAAAGCACCAAGAAGCCTTAGGAGTTGTGCAATATTTTACCAATTTAATTTAACAAGTTTTTTTCCAGAAAAATATGAACAAGGTAAATTTACATTGAATATATTACTGGTAGGACTTCCAGAAGATCACATGATCTTATCATGAAGCCCTTTACAAGCTATATAACGAATTAAAAGGTAGAAAATTTACAAATATTAAAAATTACATAAGCGTTAGAATATTCTTCAGATGTTAAGCAAGTTTTAACATAATATTCTATAATATGAATATATAACATTCTCAATATTGAACAATATTATAATATAAAGTATTCAGCATATATTGTTTAAATAATATTCATCACACAGTCGACAAAAATATCAAATAACTTGAAATACTAAAAATAAATAAATTTATTTTGTGTTGAAAAGATTATTTCTTTTGTTTTCTTTTTAAAGGAGGAATAAGACCATTTAAAAAAAAAATCAAAGTTAGGTAAAACTATTTTATTCCAAAGAAATGGACCACGATAAGAAATACAAAACTGGTCAATTTTTGTTTTGCAAAACGGCTCTTAAATATTTTTACTATCACGAAGCTCATATTTGTTTTTTGGTTTCAAATTATAGAGATTTATAAATACACTTGGAGATAAATTTTCTTTACATTTAAACATAAAACATAAAATATTAAAAATATTTAGTTTGTATATATTTAAAGCTTTCATTTCTATAAGAAGTGGTGTTGAGCTTGAAAAACGATTTCCAAAATTAATTATGCGAGCTGCGTGTTTCTGATGCCGATAGAGAGATTTAAGTTTGGTTTTGTGAGCGCTTCCCCATATAATATTGGCATAGTTTATATGGCAATGAATAAATGAATAATATAGTTAAGTTAGTTGCCTTTTATTTAGTATATATCGAGCTTTGTATAGAACTCCAATGTTTTTAGCAACTTTCATTGAAATACTATCAAATTGCTGACTCCAAGATAAGTTTTCATCTATTATGACTCCTAAAAATTTTGTAAATTTTTCCCTTTTTATGATTGTATTGTCAATGAATAGGTCAGGTAAGATATTTTGGATTCTCTTTTTTTTAGAGGTTGGGTGAAAAAGTATAAACTTTGTTTTATCCGTATTCAAGGACAATTTATTTTTTCTAAACCAAAATGATATTCTTTTTAATTCATTATTCATATTATTAAAAAGTATTTCTATGTTTTCGTGCGACTGAAATAAATTCGTATCATCTGCAAAATTTACGGTCGTTAGGGTAGAAGCTTTGCAAAGATCATTTATGTATAATAGAAATAATAGTGGTCCAAGTATGGACCCTTGGGGGACACCGCATGTTATATTTTTTATTATTTGCGATGAAGATTCTTTGTTATAAACAAATTGTTTGCGGTTACTTACATAGCTTTTGAACCAATTTAGGGTTTTATCTTTTATACCATAGCTCTTGAGAATTCTTAAATGAATCGGCAATACTGCGTGTTACTTGGAGAATAGCGTGTTCAGTAGAACTGTTTCTCTGAAAACCAAATTGATTTTTATAAAGGAGTTTATTATCAATAAGATAAGTGTAAATTCTATTATACATTATTCTTTCTAATATTTTTGAAAAGACCGGTAGAACTGAGATAGGACGATAGTTTGTTATGTTGGTATGGTCACCTGTTTTAAAGATTGGAGTTACTTTGGCTATTTTCAAACTATTTGGAAACGATCCTTGAGTAATAGATGCTTTGAAAACTTTGAAGAGGATATCTTTAATCTCATTAAAAGAGTCGATTACAATGTTTCCATTTATATCATCAGGCCCTATTGCTTTATTCCTTTTTAATGATTTAAATGCAATTTCGAATTCATTATAAGTTAGATTTGAAAAATTTATTGTTGAATTTGGTGATGATATAAATTCATCAACAATGTTGTTGTCTACATAAGGAACCTTGTTTGATAGGTTATGTCCTATTGACGAAAAGAAGTTATTGAATTCGGCTGCGATTTCATTTGAATCGGTAATTAACTTATTTTCAAATTTTATAGCATTCAGCATCGTATTTATGTTTGTCTTATGTTTGCTAGAAATTTCTTTCAATATTTGCCACACCCGCCTTGAATTATGCTTGTGTTTTATAAGCAAGTAAGAGTAGTAAATTTGTTTGACTTTTTTTTGGAGTTTTTCAAATAGATTTTTGTAAACTGTGTAGTTATTTTTATGTTTGTCGGATTTATTTTTAAGATATTTAATACAGAGTTTTTGTTTTATTTTTGATGATTTTTTTATTCCAATGATACTTGGAAATATTCCCAAAGGTATTTCGAGAGTTTAATAGACTCAATGCCAAATCGTATAAATGAGTGCTTAAGAATTCATGCTAGAATTATGCGGTATTAGGTAAAAACTACCGTTTTTTGTTGTGTGGTACTTAACTTTTTCACATTTTTTTTAAAATAAAAATTACCTACAAAACTTTAAATACATTTTTTTTATTTGTTTAAAAGTCATTGGCATTATTATTATTTTTTATTTTGCTTGTATATTTTCTAAAATTTATTATTATTTATTTTATCAGAAAAATATATTCGACTAAATAAAAATTCAAAAATAAAAATAAATTATGATTTGCTTTTTAGTGGTTCTTAAATTTTTCACAATGCTATATATATATATATATATATATATATATATATATATATATATATATATATATATATATATATCCACTACTTAATTCTAATTGGTTATTATGGCACCAACATTCTTTTACCTCTTAAACCCATGTGTTTTTGCGCTTTGTGAGCTTTTTATTATGTATTTGTTACATTAACGACATTTATATACTTATATGTTACACAGGTGATTATCAGTTCTCAATTTTTTATCTAGAGTTTAGAACATATACAGTACTACATTTATTAGACATTTGTATGGTGCGATTATTTTAACTATGAATACCATTATAAACCAGCGGATTTTTATTGACTTGTTTACTCATAGATCATTGTTTTATCATTTGCTAAAAGATGACTAGAGTGTGAGTTTTTATTCCTCTTTTCCTGAGTTGCTAACTTTTACTTCTCCTACTAAATAGTCTTTGCATCAATTTATGTTTTTTTATCTAAATGAGATCATCTTCAATCTGTTTTTATTTTCACATCTCCCAGGTCTAAGTAACTGGACGGCTCCGTTGGTCACTTTTTGCGATCATTGTGTCGCATATACAAAAAAAAAAAATTTTTGTTTAAACTTCAGTCTTTAGTTATAAAGTAAATATTTTTGAGAAAAAAAAGTCTGTTGGATTAATAACAAAATTATTAAGTTTTTGCTGTTTATAAATTATGCCCCCGCTCAGGTTATCCGTTTGCGGGTCGGCAAGGCCTGCAGTATAGATCGCCGTGCGTAGGCCGTAAAAAATAAAAAAAATATCTTTGCGATATTATTGCTACAAATAATAACAAGACGCGTTTTTCTTTAGTAAATACGATAAAGACAAAATTTAGTTGAAGAAACTTTTTCTACTTATTGAAAATTGTTGAAAGAGCTTTTTTGAATAAATTAAATCAACTGATGCAATAATTAATGCAACAATTGTCATTTTTTTTTTTTTTTTATTAAATCTCATTGCTTTATTATTCAATCCCAGATTATTCAAAAAATACAACTTGATACTTTGTTATTCAAACTCTTTACTTTGTTATTCAACCCCCTGATATTCAACCAATACAGTGCGATAAAACAATTACCATTGCTTTGATATTTAACTTCGGCATTTGCGGATTATTTGTGAAATGTTCAGCTTTAAATTTTTTAAACTTTTGTTGATAAATTAATCTTTTATATTATATGTAGAGACTTGTTTTCTCAATCTGTACTTACTCAGAACTTGCTTCACACTTGATAGAGAAATGTTGTTGTTTTTTTTTACTTTAATAAGCATTATGTGAAAATTTTAAAATACAACCTAAAAACTTATCTGGTTGAAACTTTAACCAACCTTATCAAAACTGAGTTTAATCGTCAAAAGATACAGAAAATATACTGCCTATTTTACTTGTGCTCACATAGTAAATGACAGGCGGATTGAAGCCATTGAATTTTGAAGCAAAGCATGTGGTGTACGCACCCATGTTTTTAAAATACAACCAATCTCGAACTGAAAGCTGTAACAATATTTTATATAAGTGATGTTTTTAAATCTATTTTATAAAAAAAAAATAATTAAAAGTATTTATTAAACTTTATAAACTATCATTAAATTTTATAAATATTGATGGTCCATGAATTTAAAGTTTTTATAATTTTTGTGTTAATATACCTTTGGCAAATACATTTCCTCTGATATGCAATCGGATGAATCGCAGGTTGGTCCCCAAAGACTGCTTTTAAACAATAAAGTTGTGTCCGATTCTTGAAGTAAAAGAGGTTTAAACTTTTCAGCAAATAAAACTCCTATAAAAGAACTGAAAACTCCATCGTTTAAATAATACATGAAGTGCTTATTTCTGTCATTAACTTCTTTAACTGAAATTACATTACAGCATAATGTAAATGCTGATTCAACAAAATATTTTCCTGGCTCAGCAATTATAATTAAATTTCTTTCTGAAGGAAAAAACTCAGCCAAACTAAGATTTAATTGGGCTGCAATCTAAATACATACATAGATACATACATATATACACACATAAAAAAATAAATTTAAAATTAATAAAATAGTTCTTTTTATAATAGAGTCAGCATGTTCTACAAATGTGTAAAATTCCACTTCTATGTGAAATATTTTAGTAGTATATGAGTTGTAGTAATTTAATATTTGGTTTAAATTAAAGTTTATTAATTTATTAAAATGCATTTATTTCTGATGTGCCATTATTAATGTGTAAAATAAAAACGTTTTTGATTTTTTACTAATTTATATATATGTGTGTGTGTGTGTGTGTGTGTGTATGTGTGTGTGTGTGTGTGTGTGTGTGTGTGTGTGTGTGTGTGTGTGTGTGTGTGTGTGTAAACAGTGCGGCCAGATAACTTTGATTTTATTTCCGCCGACTTTTCCCTGACTCAAATAAAATTTCCTTACTAACCGATGTATATTTAACAAATGTAGCAATAAAAAGGCAGCACATTAAACTCATACAACTTTACCCAAGTTCTCTTAAAATAAAATAAAATATGAATATATGTTATAAATTGATTTTTAGTCTCCAATAAGCAAACAAATATATTCTATTAGCGAATTTACCAAATAAATATATTTTATTACCAAATTTCTTTGACTTTTTTTTATAACTTATGTAAAATTTAATAAATTCCCTGACTTTTTAACATTTTAAAATTTGCCTAAAATTTCCAGGTTTTCCGAAAAGAAAGTTGCTGGCCACTCTGTATATGTATATATATATATATATATATATATATATATATATATATATATATATATATATATATATATATATATATATATATATATATATATATATATATATATATATATATATATATATATATGTATATATATATATATATATATATATATATATATATATATGTATATATATATTTATATATATATATATATATATATATATATATATATATATATATATATATATATATATATGTATATATATATATATTTATATATATATATATATTTATATATATATATATATATATATATATATATATATTTATATGTATATATATATCTATATATGTATATATATATATATATATATATTATATATATATATATATATATATATATATATATATATACATATACAGAGTATATGTATATATATCTGTCCTATTTGCACTTTCCCTTTTGGTGGCCATGGTTCTCTAACTTGAATGGCCATTATAATAAAAAGTCAATACATCACAAAAAATGTTATACCAATAGGCTAGCAAACAAATCTTAAAAAAAGTTGATAAGGGATTGTCAATTGAGAATGCTACTTTCTTTTTCATATATTACAGGCTAAGTGCATTATTTTTAAAAGAAAGAGAGGATAACGAGTCTTTTGTTGGTAAACCCTTTAATAATTAGAATAAAGGCAAATTAGTTTATCACAAAAATACAATTTATGACAAACGTTGTTAGGATGAATGTTATACAATTTAATCGACACATGAAAATGTAATTTTTAAATATTCGAGTATAAAAATAGCTGATCGAAGCCAATGCAATACACAAAAACTGATATTTATTATGAAAGATTTTATTTTTTGTGAAAGTCAATGTAGACCTCTGTGTATGATTAAAAATTTAAGTAAAATTTTTAGTATTGTTAATTTTCTTTCACTTCTTAAACTCACGAGAGATTTTAACAGCAAATTGCATCAGTATTTGTCCAAAAACGAATAATGTTTCAAATAAGTCCAAAAATGAATAGTTTCTTATATTTCAGAAAAGGTTTAAACTAAGATTATCTTGGTTTCAGGCAATGCTATAATACAAACTTCTATTATAAAATAAATCAATGAAGATTTGTTAAAAAAAATTTTTTGTTGATAAAAAACGTGATAAATGAAGAGCTTGTGACATTTGTAAAGTCGGAGCGTGTGAGAGCACAAGATATTTTTATTAAAATTAAGCAAACCTTGCATGACTTTTTTTTATTTTATTTTAAGTTCCCCAAGTTTTTACAGTCTTTTTTTTCACATTTGTTGGTCGTATTACAATTATATATTGTTAAAAATAAAAATAATAAACTTTCACAAATTTTTGGTAAATGATATAACAAATATAAAACAAGGTATCTGAAAGAGGATCAAAGGATCTTGTCTTCAGAACCTTAAATAAGAATTGAACAAAGGTAAAAACAATAAACTTTTACAAATTTCTAAAGTATATATTATATTATCAAAAGGAAGATCACGCGGATCTACCGAACAATTTTTTATATAAATGTATATGTACCAAAATATAATAAATTGTTAAGTAAAAAATATAAAAACCAACAAAGTAAATAAGAACAAGTTTTTATAAATGTAAATAAATAATGGCAAAGTTATTAATTCATATTATTAATAATAACATAATATGTCATCTAATGAAAAAATTAGGGTTTTTAATTTACTTTTAAAAAGACGAAAAGTAATGGGTAGTTCAAAGTCAAAATTCGGCAAAACAATTTTATTCTGAAGGTGCGGTGCCCGATAGGCAATAAAAAACTCATTAAAGTTCGTTTGACAAAAAGGTTTATTTAAAAAAACAGTATTTCTCAAATTGTATTTGTTGTAATTTGTTTCGGAGTAAAGATACCTTTGAAGACAGATAGGGAAATTATTCTACATGTAAACGAAGTATAAAACATATACATTTAGCTCGTATATATATATATATATATATATATATATATATATATATATATATATATATATATATATATATATATATATATACATATATATATATATATATATATATATATATATATATATATATATATATATATATATATATATATATTTTTTTAATTTTACATTTGTTGGTCGTATTACAACTATATATTGCCAAAAAAAAAAAAAAATAATAATGATAATAATAATAAACTTTCACAAATATAAAATAAGGTATCTGAAAGAAGATCAAAGGATCTTGTCGTCAGAACCTTAAATAAGTTCAAACAAGCATTAACAGTATCAAATTTATACAAATTTCATATATATATAGTCCAAATATATATTTTATAATCCAAAGAGAGATCACGCGGATCTACTCACCAATATTTTATATAAACGTATACGTGAAGTAAAGAATATAAAATCAACAAAATAAGTAAGAATAAACTTTTTACAAATATAAATAAGAAAAGGCAAAGTTATTAATTTATATTATTAATAATAACATAATACGTCTTCTAATGAAAAAATTAGGGTTTTTAATTTACTTTTAAAAAGACGAAAAGTAATGGGTAGTTCGAAATCAAAATTGGGCAAAACAATTTTATTCCAAAGGTGTGGTGCCCGATAGACAATACAAAATTGATTAAAGTTCGTTTGACAAAAAGGTTCATTTAAAAAATCAGTATTTCTCAAATTGTATTTGTTGATGGGTTTCGGAGTAAAAATATCTTTGAATACAGATTGAGACAAGTCATTTTTCCACATGTATACAAAGCATAAAATATTATATATATTTAGCTCGTATATATTTAAAATTCTCATTTCAATAAAATAATGTTTTGCGTGAGAAAATTGATTTGCAAAGCAGATTAAACGGATAGCATGTTTCTGACGGCGATAAAGACGTTGCAACTTACTTTTTTCTGTACTACCCCAGGCGATATTGGCATAATTTAAATGACTGTGTATAAATGAATAATAAAGTTTGATTAAAATTTTCTTATTGAGGTAAATTCGTGCTTTATATAAAACCCCTATGTTTTTTGAAATTTTAGTGCTTATGTAGTCGATATGATGATTCCAAGTGATGTTTTAATCAAGGTAAACACCTAAAAATTTTGTTACGGAATCTCTTTTTATTTTATTTTGATCAATAAAAATTTTAGGTAAGTTTAATGGCAAATATCGTTTTTTTGAAAGCGAATGGAATAAGGTCCACTTTGTTTTATTAGAATTTAGAGTAAACTTATTACATTTAAACCAACTCGATACATGTATAAGCTCTTTGTTCATTGTTTTAAAAAGTTCAAAGATATCACTGTTAGAAAGAAATAAGTTAGTATCATCTGCAAACATAATACTTGATAGTTTAGAGGCTTTATTTAAATCATTAATATAAATTAGGAAAAGGAGTGGACCAAGAATTGAGCCTTGTGGGACTCCACATGTTATAGAAAGACAATTGGTGTGATAACCGTCATTACTCGGAACAAATTGTTTACGATTTGACAAATAGCTTTCAAACCATTTTAAAACTTTATTTTTTATTCCATAGTGTTTAAGTTTATGGATTAGAATTTGGTGGTCAACCGTATCAAAAGCTTTTGATAAATCAATAAAAAGTCCTAGAGTATATTGTGATTTTTTAAATGATTTTGAGATTTCCCGTACAAATTGGATAATTGCATGTTCAGTTGAGCTATCCTTTTTAATACCGAATTGATTAATGTTAAGTAATTTATTAACATGAAAATATTTGTATACTCTGTTATATATAATTCTTTCTGAAATTTTTGAAAAGGTGGAAAGAGCAGAAATAGGGCGATAGTTACTTACAATTGATTTGTCCCCTTCTTTAAAAATAGGAATAATTTTGGCAATTTTTAACAGTTCGGGGAAAACACCTTGATGGATAGAAGCTTTAAAAACTTTAAAAAGAACAACTTTTAGCTGTTCAAAACAATCTATAATAACGTTTCCATTTATTTGATCTGCTCCAATTGCTTTATTTTTTTTTTAAAGATTTGAAGGCTCTTTCAAACTCTTCAAACAATAATTCAGAAGACAACTCAACTGAACCAATGCAATTATCAATGGGTACTATAAAATCAGTAAATAAAGATTTGGTCTTTGGGATTTTTTTAGAAAGTATTGGACCTATATCAATAAAAAGTTTGTTAAATTCTTGAGCTATAGTTCTTGGTTCGTATAAACTTTTGTTATCGACTCTAACCATTTGTGGCAGAAAACCTTAGCATGATTTTTGTTTTCCAATAGTTTCATTCATTATTTGCCATG